TGGTGAACAGATACACAACTCAGTCTCTGCCTTTGAGTGGTGCGTTTGAACTCTCCCATGAGTTCAAACGCACTCATCACATGCTGATGTCAAGCAGTCATTGCACACTAACGCACGCTACCAGCTCTCCATAGATCAGTGTCAGCGACGCTTCACTTGCTCATATAAAAGTAATAAGTTTCGGTCTGCACAGGCACAATTCAAAGCCATACGTTTCCGATTTAATTGGCGAATCCACACTTTCTGTGGGAGATTTATAGGTGAAGGAGTCTCTGCATAGAGAGGCTGTGATTATAATGGTCTATCTGCATTAGGATCTTGTTTCATGAGCATCTGTAACTCTTCACCGTGTCTGATGATCTGATATTACAGATATCTCATTTACAGGAATAACTTGCAAGGTCAGTCTTCTATAAAAGCCAGGAAATCACAAACATACTTGATACTTGAAAATGATTTAAAAACATAAAGACTTCACTCGCTTTTGGGCAAATAAGCCCACAGCAGTAGCATGCAATAGTAGCCATTTAAGTTATACAAGGATGAAAATTCACTGTTAAAATTCACGATTGAAGTTTAAAGTACAGTAATATGACAAGCTAGGTCTTATTTATCCATTAAAGGTTTCCTATGCACTGAAAATAAAATACAGTACCTTGTTGCACCTTTAGGAGTACAATGGGGCAGTATCCCAGATTCTGCCACGGTGCTTTAAGTTTGCATCTTGCAGACGTGAATCTTGAACCTCTGGGAACAGCTTTTTTTCCACTAAGATAACAGACTTTTAAAAATGAAGGTGTAAAACTGAGTACCATAAAATGGAGTGTTTTATTCATTCAAACACTTGGAAATTAACTGACATTTGTGTAGAACTCCTTTAGTCCCATTGACTACTCAAAGCTTTATCCATGAACATGTGCACCTTCCTATTTTTGCTTTGAGGCACTGATATAGAAATCAGATTGAGGTTGAAAGATCCATCCATCCATCTGTCCATCCGTCCGTCCGTCCGTCCGTCC